TTTTGTTTTTTTGTTTTTTTTCCTTTTGCTTCCACCATCTGGAAAAAAAAAGAAGAAGAGAAAGCCGCCTCCAGGCGCATATTCCTGCTGACCCGCACGGAAAAAAATAAGATAAAAATAAAAACACAAACAAAAGAACGGGTCAACCAAAGGGACGTAAAGTGCGGTACGTGTGGATGTTGCAAGCGGCAATTTTTTCGGTTTTGTTTTGTCTTTTTTTTGCTTTTTTTCCTTGTCGGTCGGCTACGGAATCCCCAAATAGAGACACTTTCAGTTTGCAGTGGCACGGCCGAATTGGTCCTTGAGAGCGAGTATTAATTTTTTTTTTGTGTGTGTGACTGTGTTTTCACTCCCCGCCCCTCTGCGAGTGCCCCCCTCCCGGGTTGGCATACGTGCGCCTCTGCGCGGCACACTCTCTGTCTTGCTTGCAACTGGGCCTATTTTTTTTTTTTCTTTTCACTTTTTTTTTTGTTTTGCTTTTGCTTTTGCTCCATCTCTTCTTCCTGCGCGGTGGGGAACATCCAAGAAGAAATACGCGCATTTGCGTAGAAAATGGTCGTGTTCGACTCGGCAAAGTTTTTGTCGGGGATGAGAGATGTAGATAAGGACTTGCGCGAGATGGCCTTGTTTGACCTGCAGCAGGCGCTGAGGGAGCCGGGGGGTCACCTGGGTGAGAGCGACGTCGAGCTTGTGGTGGACGCCGTGCTGCGCTGCTTCACCAAGGCCGAGCCAGAAAAGGAGGTACGCAACAATGCCATTCAGGTCGCACCACGGCTTTTCCTTGCTTGCGGCGAGCGCCAGCAAATCCGGTTATCCTCCTTTTTGTGCACCGCGGCCACCTCGCGTGGAACGGAGTTTTCTGACAGGGGATCGTTGGAAATATTAGAGAGCGCGATGCTTGCTCTTGGCCTCTGCTGCGAGGCGATGGCCGAGAAGGCGCAGCTGAGTGTGGAGGTCTGGCAACGTTTACTGCCCGCTGTCCAGCGCATCAATACCGCGCTTCTCGCCAGCCTGGGCGACAAAAGCGTGAAGGTCTGTAGGGACGGCATTTACGGCGCCCTGAATGCCCTCATCCCTCCCTTTGCGCGTACGTTCCCGTGCAAGGTGCGTGACGACATGGCAAAGGTGGCGTTGGGGGACTTTTCTGGCACTGGCTTTGCGTGTCGTCGCGCCGTTGCGTGTCTTTCGCTGCTCTCACCCTTTTTAAGCGAGGACGCATTCAACGATGTTCGTAAAACAGCACTTCGCGGGCTTCAGCAGGCTAAACCCAATGCCAGGTTGCTGTCGCACCTGCAATTGTACGACGCTTTGGTGAAACATTCCCCGCTGCGCATGATGACAGACGTCTGCGCGGTGACGCGTGCTCTTTTGAAGGAGCTGCGACGACGAACAGACGAGTACACGTCGGAGGACGACGATGTGTGTGACACCGTGATGCGTGTCATGAACTCCATGGTGTGTCAGTATCCAACTGAACTCGCCCTCTTGCACGCTGATGTTTTTGAATGTTGCACCGCGTTGCTGCGTTTTGACCCCAACTACTGCGCGGACGCAGACGACGGGGCAGAGGCGGAGGCGGAGGCGGAGGATGCATACGCGGATTATTACTTGGACCTGGAGGAGGTGGACATGTCATGGAAATTGCGCATGTGGGCCGCCAAGCTTCTTTCCTCCTTAATACAAGTCTCACCTAGTGCGGCGGTGCTGGTTCAGCGCCTGCGCAAAGCCGATTTCGCGGCGGTGAGCGACAGGGTGGAGGAGGTGCAGCTGGCCAATATCCACCTGGTAAACGCCATTGCGCAGCAACTGTGCGGCTGTGAGGCAACCCCCATACTGCTGGAGGTGGTGGAGCCTTTGCTGGAGTGCGTCACCGGGTCCTGTCAGAAGGTGCGTACAACGGCTATAAAGTCCCTGCAACTCCTGTTTGAGCTGTATGGAGCCACGCTCATCCAACGCGGCGAGGCGGTGTCTCGTGTCGTGGCTGACCTTGTCGCCAGCGACACGCATGACACGAATCCCCTTCATTCAGAGGTCATCGCTCTGTCGCAATACGTGATGGACGCCGCCTTGCTGGAGCCGAAGGAGGCCTCCGTGGCGATTAAGCTTTTTGATACCGTTTTTCACACTATTGTCAAAATTCGGTTTTACGGAGTTAGCGAACGCACGCTTCGCGTGATGGGGACAATGACGCGTGTTGCCCTCGCCGCGGATGCCTCCTGCACCAGGCGTTGCGTGAAGCTGTGCTTTTTCCTGCTTGAGACGAAGTTCACGGACGTGGAGGCATCCCGAGCCGCCACAGCGGCCATGGGGCAGTGCCTTTCCAGCCTTCTCGCGACTCTGCCGGAGGACGCCGTGCGTGACTCTTTGCGGCATTTGATTTTGCTTTCCGAGACAAACTGGAATGCGATGCAGGTGCTAGGCTATGTGCTTGGCAGTTCCAGCAAAATTTGCGTGTCAGCCGAACTTTTGGATCGGGTTGCGACGTCTCTCACAAAGTGCCCTCGCCCACAGCAACACGCGATCGTTGGTGTTGTGCGAGACGCTCTAAGAAACGGATCTGAACTCACAAGTGAGGCACTGCGCCTTGTGATGCAAATGGTGGAGTCGGATGCCTTTGCGTGCAGGGAGGTCGTGCTGATGGAGGCCGTTCTTGAAATGTTAACGGAGGTTTGCAGAACACACCCGCAGACGATTGATCAAATGTTGGACGTGATGCTTGCGCTTGTTTGGAGTGCCTTGGAAACGGCGTTGCCCTCCGCTGCTTCCTTGCCCGCCCGGATTGTGGCGAACGCGGCGGCCTTTTTCCATGTGATTTGTTTGGAGCTTCCACAACACCGCTCTGCCCTACTTGAGGCGGTATTGAAGCGGATCTTGACGTCCACCTCCCCTGAGATCCATAGCGAACTCTTGGGCGGCCTTGTCCTTGACGATGGAACGATGCTGGAGAAAATTTCCTCCTGCTGTGGCCAAAACGAGGACGTGACTTGTCTCTGTGTAGGGACAGCGGGTCGCTCCCGGTCGCTGCCCGATGCGTGGAAAGCGCGGCTGGTAGAAAATTTTGCCCGCGCAGCTTCAGAAGCGTCACGCCGTTTGGGGATGTTGTCGATCAGCCGGGCCGCTGCCAACCCACAAAATATTTCGCTCGTGACGCAAGTCGTTGGGTGTGCGGTGACGGAGGAGAAGGACCGATCGTTGTACTGGAGTCTACTCAGGGAGATGACGCGTGCGGCGGCCTCGCATGCGGCGTCCTCCTTCAGCGAACGTGTATTCTGTAAATCTATCATGGAACGTCTTCTGGAGAACGTCCTAGAGGAGGACGTGGAGACCACCGCCGCGGTCCTTGGAAGCTTCCTGACGTTTGCTTTGGTGGATCTCGTCGATATTACCCGCCGTTATTTGAATAGCGGCTCGGAGTTTGTGACGGCGGCGTGTATCTCCACCCAGCGCTACGTCTTTACCCACTGCAAAGGCGAAGAGCCCAATCCTGAGCTGGCAAGCGCCATAGAGGCGTCGCTCCAACACTTGAGACGCACCTCTGCGCTTCCTGTTCGGCTCTCTGCCTTACAACTTTTTGCCGGCGTGGCATCCTCCCAGCCCCAGCTTCTACTTACCCCAACCATGCGGGACATCGTCTACCCCAACTTGCTTGCTGAACTTGTTGAGGATGCGAGCCTCGTTTTGATTATCAACCTTGGTGGCTATACGCATCGAGAAGACAAAGGAATAGAAGTTCGCCGGCTGGCTTTTGAGAGTATTGCTATTCTGCTTCGGGCGACGGAGCGGCAGCGCAGTGGTAAAGTGTTGGAATTCCTTGGACATTTTGAGGAGCTTCTCCAATCTCTAGTTCACGCCTGCGGCCCGCAGGAGAAGGGTGAGGCGGATGTGGGATTGAATAATCAGGCCAAAACGCTTTTGGTGCAGCTTGTGAAAGCGTACCCCAGTTTACCCTGGAGTGACTCTCTGCTCACCTCCTTGCATGCCAAATTGAAGGCCGTGTTGGAAACACCCTGCAAGGGTACTGCGTCGGATGCTGAGAAGGCGCGAGTAAACATGAAGTATGCGTTAAGTTGCGTGATGCGTCTGACGGAGTTTGTGCCTTTTGCCTACCTGCCACAGTTTCAGCCGCTTCTTCTAATGGCGCAGAACTCATCTTTATTGGCGGAGTCAATGCGACTCGTGTTGTGAAGCGTCTCGCTCTCTCTGAGATTATTCTTATTCGTTGCTGTTCTCTCTCTTTGTTGTGTTCTTTTATTACTCTCTCGGCCTAGCCTCTCCTCTCACGGCATGTACGTGTATGTGCGTCTTGCCGCCTCCTTTTTACCGAGTTGTATAATGACTGTCATGAACTCACATGAATGCGAGCACAGATGCACGTACATATTGCATTCATTGAGCTTTTTTTTTCTTCCTTCTTTCATTTTTTTTTATTTGGTGTATTTGTGTGTGTGTGTGTGGCTTTTTTTTTTGCTGCGTGTGTGGCTTTTGGTGGCGGCCTGCACCTGCACTTGGCGAGGCTGAGGCGTGGTTGTAATGTTTTGTTTAGGTGTCTTGCTGCGATGCGTGGGAAAGGAAATTGCACTGCCCTCGTCCGCCGAGGTTGCCGTGCTGAGGAAGGTGCTCTGCCCGACGATTCAGCCATCGGAGCTGGCCTCCCTTGCCGCCGACACCGCGGCAGTGATGCGGCGACTGAATATTCCTCGGACAGTCAACATCCTTGAGCTCTTTGCACAGCACGGTGTGCGTCACGAGGATCTCATGCTGACAGGCCTCTGGAAAGTATTCAAGGCGGACTGGCCATTCCTCGCTGGAAGGGATGAAACGGGTGTGGTGCGGGAATTTGCTGCATGTACGGCGAAAACTTTCCGTCTAATGTGTAAAGAAGGGTTTGTGCATGACCCGCAGTTACTAGCCATCGCTTTTGGGAGATGTGTGGAATGTGCCCCCCACTTGCCGTTGCACGGCGTCGTGGACGCCTACGAGGGGGTTGAGCTCTTTGGTCGGCGCTACTTTAGTCTGGCAGAGGTGGCTTTGTACGCGGACGGGGCCGATGCGGATCCACAGGCACTTGACGCTGCCAGGGAGCCTCCCTCCGCTGCAGCCCTGTCCAGTCAACCCAACCTTGTGGATGTGCTCTGTGGTGAGTTGGAGTCGCGGTTGCGGCTGGCAATAGATGCGGGGTGTGAGCACGATTCCGCTGACGTTGTGCGGCTCCTGCACTCGCTGTCCGCTCTGGGGGTGATGGATGCCAGCACCCTTGCCTCCCTCCGAAGACTGATTGCGTCCATGAACATAACCACTGAACTGTTCCTGGACCTCCTGGCAGGCGTGCATGGAATTCATACGCGCGTCATGGATGTCTTGGAGCACGCGGGCGATGACGCCTGGTTGCTGTCCGAGCGTTCGGCTCTGGTGAAGGTGATAACGGAGAAGCTTCCGCCGCAGAGCCTGTTTGGTGGCCGTCGCCGCTGCGACCCACAGCTGGTCTTGCGGTTGCGACGGCTGTTTGAGATGTATCCCACCCTGGCAGAGGATGCCCCACGCCTGTGGGACGCCGTCCGCGTGGTCCGTGTGGCGCACAGGCATGCGACAAGCCATAAGGAGAAGAAGCACCGTCTCGGGGGCGCCTTGTTTAGGCCCGAGTACGCAGTGAAGGTGAAACGCATCATGCCGGATCGATCAGAGGCCGAGCGGTTTGTGCCACCGCAGTTTAAAACGTGGCGTGGGATTGGTGCCAGAAACGGTCGACATCAGGGATCTGCGACACCGCAAAAGATGGGCTTCGGCACGCGCCGCATATCGAGTAACTACATCAAGCAAAAGCGAAGAAAGTTTGCTCCTGCTGTCTGGTGAGCTCTTTGTTTGTTTTCCCTACGAAAAAAAGAAGAGGAAGGAAAGGGTGCAGCTGTGAGAGACGTCTCGATTCATTGCTGTGCCTGCGACTCCTGTCAAGTTGCTGTTGGGCTCTCCTTGCCGTTTTTCGGCTTGTGGCAGCTGTCGAGGCGGTGTCTCCTTCTTTCCTCACTCAGCCTTTTCCACAGACACGAGGAATACGGAGTCTACAATGGGCCCAAAGTCCGTCGAAACGGAGATGGACTTCAGCAAGCGCCTTTACGGGGATCGGAAGCACATTGCTGGTGGTGAAGAAGCGGGCGAGGCACGGAAAGTGGCGAGGCTGCTGCCGCTTTCGGTTGTCCCTAGGAGCGCGGCGTCCCGAGCCGTGCAGCCCAGAGAACTGCCGCCGCTGGCGCTGGGCCCATCCTGCCAAGTCTCGGTTTGGCCTTCGAAGCACAAACGTGCCGTGGGAGGATCCAAGACCCCGCTTGCGCTACAGCTGGAGGCATTTATTAGGAGAGAGCATCAGGTGTACCTTCGCGAGCACCCTGACTGCACCCATGCTGACACGCTTCACATTGTGCGAGAGGCATTTTCGGTGTTAATCGAACACTTTATGGAGTACAGAAGAGTACTTTCTTTCATTCGTGAGGAGTACGAGGCAACCATTGAGGAAGCCGCATGTGAGCTGCGACGCCTACGGGCGCGTAACCTAGAAAACGAGAGCGACCGTAGTTTCCACGTGATGGAGCTGATGCGCCAGCGCGAAGGATTTACCACTGTCATTAGCAATCAACAGGCGCAGTTGCAGGCCACGCAGGGGCTAATTCGCTCCCTGCGAGACCAGGTGGCGACGCTGGAAAAATCCAACAGCGATTTGTCCGCCGAGGTGAGAAGCACAAAGAAGAAGTTTGATGAGATCATGGTGACGTCGAGGCTGTTAAAGGACGCCATGATTGAAGAGACGGCTCGCAACTCCCACTTTGTAAAACTGCACAGGTCGGACGAACGAGAGTTGGGTCGGTTGAATGCCCAGGTCAACCTGATGAAGGAGAAACTTAGCGAGGCGGATAAGCGCTTCAATGCGCTTGTGCGGCAGATGATGTTTGGTGGCTCTGGACCAACCAAGTTCAAGAATCCAGTTGAATCCACTGCTAGCGAGCACGCATTCTCATCCAGCAGTTTGGTGGATTCAGAGACGAAGGAAACGGAGCAGTCTGTTGACGCGCTCCAGCGTCGGATTGACGACTTGCTTCTTGCGTGTGAGCAGCTAAGGCGTGAGAAAGCCGAGGCGAAAAGGCCTTCCAGGGCGCGGAGACGTAGACATCTCAAGGAAGAGGCGGCTCCTGCTCCTCCGGTGAAGCCGGGGTTGGCTGCGGCCGCCTCAGTGGAGTCTACCAGCAAACTTATTCAGTCGTGGTTGCGGGAGGAGAACCTCACGGAGCGGGAAATTGACGACTTGGACTTTCTGCTTCCCCCAGGGAAATGCGAGGAGGATCCACTTTCCTTCTTGAAAGTGTGTCACCCTGTGCGTAACCTGCGCATGTCGCGAGAGGTTGTGGTAAGTACGCTTCGTGAGTTTTGGTCGTCGCGTCAGATGCAATCTTATGTGCCGCTGAAGACGTACTTTATGGACTGGCTGCGCAAAAAAGTAGGACCAGGGAAGGCCGCAGAGGAAATTGGACTGAATCTTCTCTCGGTGTGCCAAAGGAACCCGGATGATCCCGAGTGCCGCGCGATGTTGTTGGTGCTGCGTTCATTTCTGCCAGAGGATGTGGTGTTGTCGTGGCAAAAGGACATAAGATTGCTGGAGGATGCGTGTAACGACTCCTCGCGCGCCGCGGATGGAGCCATTCAAACTGCGTTTGTTGAAAACGCGTTAAGGGTTGTCATGCCGGAGAAGAGTTACGTGCACATGCTGGAGCTTCGCTTGTACCTCCGGCGTCTCAGCGAGGGATCGGAGCAGGTGCCTATTGACGTCCTTTTTAACGAGAGTGGTCATTTTGCGTACATGCTGAAGAAGCAATTTCTCTATGAGGTCGAAGAGTTTACGCTGCAAGCCGTCGAGGCTATTCGACTGCTGTCTGAGGACTCCACTACTGTACGCGTGAACGATGTCACGGAGACCATCAGCAAGTTGGACGGGGGTATTCCTAAAGGGACGCTGCACCGACTCGTGGCGGAGGCGACGCAACTGACGGCTATGGACGTTGCGACGGCGGATGCAAACCTCCGAGTAAAGCTGCAAACAGTGCTCCATCGCTTCCGCAGCGCGGTGCTGCTTCGGAGAGCAACGCCTCCTCTGAGCGGCAACCCGGCGCTTGATGAGGGGGGAGACGGCAGTGGCGACGAAGAGGATGGTGATGCAGATGCCGATGCAGGGGACTCCGGTAAAAGTGACGCTGAGGAGGGTGGTGATGAGGAAGGTGCGGATGCGACGCGTGATTTGCGTCCAGGTCGCAGTCCTCATCAAAACTCGCCAGAGTTGGGGGAGTCGCAGTTGAGTTGATTGACCCTATTTCTCCCACTTGCCCACACCATCTTTTTATTGTTGTTCTTGTCGTTGCTGTTTTTCCTCGCTTGTCTTTGTACCTCTATGTTGTTTGTATTGGTCCTGTTCACGTCTTCCTTCCTCTCTGGCTGCGCCTGGACGACGAAGGAAACGTGGAGTGGGTACATGTGAACTCGTACTCCTTCTGTGCGAAGGAGTGAACTTTGTATTGGGTTTGTTTTTGTTTTTGTTGTGTTTTGTACTTCTCAGTATCCGTTGTTTTTTTTTTGTTGTGTGTGTGTTTGCCTGCTGGTTCTGGGCAAGGAGTGTGCCTGTGCTCGGTTTCTCCTCCTTGCCCCTTCCTTCTTCACATACTTCAATTCACTCTTTTTTTTTTAGAGTCTGTATTTGTGTATGAAGTCAATTTTGGTGCTATCAGGCTGATATTTCTCCCTTCACCAGTTATTCCCCTCTGTTACGGCTCCTTCCTCCCCCTCACTCACTTTATCGCCCGCGGTGCGCCTCTCTCTGCGCCCGGCGGCAGGGGGGTGTCCGTTATTATCCACAATCTCTGCCCCAGTTGCGCGGAGGAGCCGCGTTTGTTGGACGCTTTCCTTCATTCCTTTGCCTCTCGCCTATTTTTTTTTGTTTGGTTTTGTTGCAGGTAAATTTTTACATGCCTTCCCGTGGTGGCTTAATGATGGCAAGCGTGATCATCCAGTTTCTCGCTTTCCTGCTCTGCACCGGCGCATGTGCCGCGTCGCCTGCCGCCGTAGTGGATGCCGTGGACGCGCTACGGCCACTTCCGCTGCGCACCGGCCCGGTCACTGCCTCCGCCACGGCCACGGCCACGCCCAGCGCCAGTGTTACCGCCGACCACCACCGCACCACTGTCCCTCTCTCCAGCTCCGTGACGCCCAGCGCGACGCTGGCACCGCCCCCGCCCGAGCGCACCGTCACCGCGAGCGGGCACCACACCGTCACGCCTGCCGTCACGCCTTCGCTGTCGCCGCAGGCGTGGGTTGACGTCTACTTCGAGGTGGAGAACGTTTCCCTCACACCGGTGAGGCTCGTGGCCCTGCTGCGCCGCGTGGTCTGGAGCGGCACAAGCGTGGAGATGGTCGCCGGCGGCGTCTTTGCCGACACTTGGGACCAGGTTTTCTTCGAGTCTGCGCGTCGCGCCGGAGAGGCGGTGGCGGCCGCCAATGAAGGCGAGGTGCCCGGCGTGCGAAGCGCCTCCTACGCGGCCCCCGCCGCCCCGACCCACAAGAGCAGCGACACCACCGTCGTGGTTGTGGTTGTGGTGGTTGTGATTGTGGTCCTCGCCCTGGCGGCGGCGGGGGTGCTGTTTTGCCGCAGCTACTACCGTGGCAAGGACTGGCGCTCGGGCCGCTACGACGAGGACTTTGCGATGAACTCCGCGACGACGCCGGTGAACCTGAACGAGTTGCTTTTAACGAACCTTGGCGGCGACGGCAGGAGGAGTCAGGATCACAAATCGGTGGCCTCGTAGAATGCAGGAAACACCAGCGAAGATAGTTAGTAGCTATTGTTTTCTTTTTCCTCCCTTCCTCTCCGTTTCTATCGGCATTTCTTGCTTTCCTTCAGGATGGCCTTGTTGTTGTTGTATTTTTCCTTGTCTTTTACCTTTTTGTTGCCGCTGACATTTTTTACTTGTTTTTGTTTCGCACAGGCAGTGAGCGAGAGGAGGAGCGGTTGGAAAAGAGATTTCACCGCCGCCAGCAAAACGGGCAGAAGACACGGGGCAGCAACATCAAAACTGGAAAAAGAAGGAAAGAAAAGAAAAACGCATTAGACAACAGGTGCCTTGTGAACGTAAAACCTCGTCTTGTCGTTGGGGTTTTCTCTGCACGTTTTTGTTGTCGTTTTTTTTGTTTTTGCCTTTCACTAAGCTCGCCAAGGGCCGTGACATCTTTGCACGCTCCTTTTTGTTTGTTTGCTTCTTTCCTCCCTGGGTCTTCTCTTCCCTGGACTTGACGCTGCCCCGTTGCTTCTCCCCGCCACTCTTCTTTGCGCTCGGGAGTGGGCAATGATGCGCCGTTCCTCCTCAAGGGGGTTTTGTCGGCGCTTCCTGCGTTCTTCCTCCACCACACCAAATTTTTCACTTTTCATTACTGTCGTTTTTTTTGTTACTGCACTGTTTTGTTTTTCTTTAACGTGTTGGGGGGGGGGTCGGTGGCGTCATGTTTCACCACCTACCCACACTCGCACGCAAACACACACACACACACACACGTCTGTGGCCCTCTAAACTTCGCGAGGCACGTCGGAGGTTGTCGTTCGCGGCGGGGTGTCTGGGGGTTGTAGGAGATGAGACGCGGTGTGGTGGCCCGCTGCGCCGCCGTCCCGGCAGCTGCCCTGTGCGCCCTTACGGGAAAGCGGGTGACGGACTGGGAGGCGCACCGCCGCACCGTGGAGATGCGGCTGTTTGAGCTGCTGAGGGCCCGGCTGGCCTCGCCCACGGAGCCGCTGCCGGCGAACCACGTCTACGCCACCATAGCGAATCCGTGTCGCCTCATTGACGAGTTCAACTTTGCCAAAACGACGCGCCGGCTGGATCGACTGCGGGTTTCCCTCGGATTTCTGCGGCGGCACAATGTGCTTCTCCATAGCCTGCTCTTCCACGTGAAGGAGACAAAAACGTGGAACACCACGGCGGGCTTTGGACGATTGGCTCTGTTCGGGGAAAGTCTGCTTCGGCACGAGGTCCGCGCGCGTACGCTGCGGCTGCTTCCCGCCATAGACTCCGTGATGTTCGCCACACTAACCGCCTCGATGGTGAACGAAGAGGCGATATGCACCCTTTTTGATCGCTTGGGGATGAAGTCGCTGGTTGGTGCTAAGCCGGAGGGCAGGGACCGCGACTGGTCCTTGACAAGGGAGCAGCGTAGCCGCATGTTTTGCGCCGTCGTAGGGGAAATGAGCTGGTTCGCGGCGCGAACAAAGGCCACAGATCGAACACATAACAATGCGCTTTTCCCGCCGTCCGATGCACTTATTCTTCATGTGTTGTGCTGCCACCTACTCGAGAGTCTGCCGGCGGAGCTTATTTACGGCGTTGTGGAACCCCGTGTGCGTCGCCTCAAGGAGGTCTGGCTCAATGAGCCCATGTCGCTCCCCTCACAGCTGCATTTAAAGCCCAGAACGATTGGCGCGCTTTCGCTGGCCCTGGAGAAGAAACCTATTTGCGCCGAAGAACGCCTTCGCAAGGCGGCAGCACAGGATGCCAACGTATGTCGTCCCTCCCTCTCCCCCGAGCGTGTTGTTGGTGGCTTTCAATCCACAATGCGGCCTCGTTGGAACTATAAGCGCTTCGATGAGCGACGATATCAACTATTGAGCGACGACAAGAGGAGTTGTTTGCCTCTGTTTTCTTTGCCAACGCCCAGGGATTCTGCCGCCCCTGCGGCTGTAACGATGACAGACGAAAGACGTAGGGAGTTAGTTGCTGCGGCGTTGGAGTGGGAGATGCGTGGCACGGCAAAGGACACGGTGTGAGGGCTGCACGCTGCATCTGCCGCCGCCGCAACGAAAAGCAGGAGGTTAATGCTTGACTTCAGTATTCGCTTCGGCCTCAGAGGGAGAATAATACACGCGCATATGTGCATGTACACATATATTACGTTTCCTTTTTCTTTCGCTGACGCTATTCGTCTACCTATTCTTTGGTTTAATTTTGTATTTATTCTTTACCGATGCTGTTGCGCCTTACGAAGCTTTTTTTTTTGCATTTCTATTCCTTTTTTTTCTTCTGTGCGCGTGTTTGTTTCGTTTTCATTTTGGGTGGGTGGGGTTTTATTTGTGTTGCTTTAGATGATGCTGGAAGCTGGGGCCTCACCAGTGCGACCCGTGTCTCCAGTCAGCTCGACCTCCACGGAGGAGGTCACGGCGGGGCACGACATCTCCACAATCAACCGCACTTTGGACGTTTCTTCCATCCAGGATGACTGCCACTTGATGGAATGTGGCTCCAAGCACTGGATCCGCGTGACCCAGTTGGACCCAACCACGACAAGTAAATCTCTCGAGTACATGTTTTATCCGTATGGGGGCGATGAAGCCTTCGTCTTGTGGGACAATGGGGTTGTGGGCTACGTCGGGTTTGAGAATAAGTACATGGCCGACCTTGGAGTGGAGAAGATGGATGCCTTTATCCCGTGTCGCCAGACGCACGCCCTGCGCGTTACCCGTGTGTCACTGGAGGAGGTCTTGCTCGCCAAGAATGCGGTGTGTTTTCCATGTCAAAAGGGGCTCACGCCGCTGCTCTACTCCGACTGTCCCGTGCATTTTATTGCCAAGTACATTGAGTTGCACCGACAGCCGTGCTACTGCGCTGCGGAGTTGGTGGAGGAAGTCACGCGAGCCACTCGGACTGTTTTCGCACGTATTTTGGGTGCATTGACAGAGTTAAAGCCAATTTGGATTTCCCTAGAGGAGTTTCGCGACACCCTCGCAAGACAGCTTTTGTGCACTATTGCGAAGGAGGGCTCCGCGGACGTCGGGGCAAATTGTGGCGCCCTACTGGGCGAGTTGCATGTTATGGGGCTACTGACAGGGGACCCGTTCCTCTTGGCCTCGGGCCTTCTCCAGCGTGGCGTGCGGTGCAGCACCAAGGTTGACAACGTCTGCGGCATCGCTCACGCCTGTGCTTCCATGCCGTTTTCCATCTCCAGGGCATCCTTCTGGGCCCTCGTGGGGCAGATGTCACTGGAGGTAGACGAGCACCTCCGCACCGTCCTTCGTGGTCACCTGCGGCAGTTTAAGCAGAGAATGGAGTTGTTTTCTCCGATTACGTCCGCTGCCCCAAAAACTACCTGGTCGCTCACCAAGGAGCATAATAACAGTTCCAATGATGCGTCACGTCTCTTGTCCGAGTCGAAGTCGCGCACGTTGTACATATCCCATCTCCCTCCGCTGCTCCCTCAGCAGACCCTCATGGAGTTGCTGTCGGCGTGCGGTGTGGTGAACAAGGTCCGCATATGCCGCGGTAGCGGGTATACGACCCTTTTTGCCTTTGTTGAGATGGCAACTGCAGAGGAGGCCCGTGCCGCCATGCGCCTTAACCGGACGAGTCTCCTTGGCTGCAACATTCGTGTGCAGATTGCACGCAACCCGATTCAAGATACCCAGGCAGAGGACGGCGTCATCGATGCCGACGGCGCCTCGAAGCGCGACTGCCTTTTCAGCCAGCACGGAGGTTCCCTGGCTATTGCCGTAGAGGCCGGTGGGAAATGTGCTAGTGCTTGAGAAGTCTTGTATCCATAGAGAAGGCGCTGGGGAAAAAACTTCCGACGTCTCCCCAGCCGTTTTATAGAACAAATAAAGAAAAGACACGTGTTTGCTTTCAATTTCTCTTCCCTGTCAATTTTCTTTTTGTTCCTTTTTTTTTCTTTTGTTTTGTTTCCACTGGCTGCTATTGTTTGTATAGTATGCTTCTTTTGTTGTCGGTTGCTCTTCCGCACTCCCGCGGTGTTTGCGTGAAGTACGACCGAACCGAAGGTACAGAATTGGGTCCCGCGCCTCTTGTTTATCGTTTTTACATAGAACACTTTTCATCATTCATATTAGCATCCATACCTGTTGTTGTTGTTGTTTTTTTTCTTGTATTTTCTTTTCTTTTTTGTATGTGTGTGTGTGTGCGTCTCTTGTTTTTCGTTTTATTTTACTTCCGTCTGTGGGTCTTTCCTCGTTGTTGGGGAGGAGGACGGGGAAACGCAGTCACGCTTTTGTACGGCGCGCGTGGCGGACGCGTGCTTGGACCCCACACGCGCGCGCGAGGAATAATGAAAGATGGCGGAAGATGCAATAAAGACAGACGCAGATAAACAACTGCAGGGCCGCGTCCGCGGCGCCGGCTTCGGCCGTCCCTAGTGCTTACATCACTCACTCAATCACCCACCCACCCACCCCCGCTACAGTGCATGCAAGTCCAGAGGAAAGAAGAAGAAGATTGGGGCGCAGGAAAACTAGGCGGTGCAGAACTCAAAAAAAAAAAAAATAGGCGGCTCCACCTGCACCTCCTTCCTCCACCCACTTAACTACCCGAAGCAAAAAGAGAAAAAAAAAAGGGAGAGAAAAAGAGAAAGAGAGAGCGAGTTTATCTTGTTGGGTTTAGGTGACTTTCCCTATTTACCTATTTAAAGTCTTGCGAAGACGGGTAGTCGGTGTGGCCAGAAGGCCTATTGCCATTCCTGTACGTTGATGACTTTTTTTTTTTGGGGGGGGGGGGGAAGAGCCCATTTCATCCCACGCCTTTTTTTTTCTTTTTGCTTTTTGTTCTTCTGTTGTTTGAATAGTTGCACTGGGCGGGGACACACACACACCCACACACACACAGAGAGCGGCAGGATGCTCAGGGTCCCGGCACGGTGGGCGTGTGCCTCGTCCCCGGCGGCGCTCGTGCAACTGAATGATGGTCCTGTGGCCCTCTGCTGCATCGCTGCCGTCCACCCCGAGGCCGCATCGTGGGAATTCGACTGCAGAGTCACGATTTCACCTCAACAGGCCGCTGGGCTCACAGCACAGGATTTTTCCAGTGTGGAGACGCACAGTATTTGTTTCCTGCACGATGCGGCTTCCGGAAGAAGACGCTTCGTGGAGGCCCCACTCGGTGGCACAGGAGCGATGGACGTGCTTCGCATCCAAACACCACTGAACACGTACGTTGCAAAGAATATTCTGTTGGAAGGGCCGCGTGTAAGTCTTCGCGGATTGCTGGATCGTCTCTTTGCTAGTATGGTTGGCCGCTATGTAGTGATTGGCTGCGATATTGAGACAGAGATGGGACGATATCGTGTAAAGTCTGTGGAGCTTCAAGGCGGGTACCGGGGGTTGGCCTTGGTGTGTGGAACGGCACGGGTAAAACTTAACCACAAACCAGTCGATGCTCGTGACAAACTTACTCCTCTTATAGGCTTGGAGGAGCAGGCGCGGGAGTTGGGTGCCGTGTTTCAAGCCATGAAGCAACGTCCTGGCAGTTGGATTGGCGTGTGCCTACATGCTCCTGCAGGTTGTGGGGCCTTGGCGCTGCTGCGACAATGTGCCGCGGCGAGTCACGCGGTACTTGTGCATTGGTCCCCCACAGGGATTTGGCATCGAAAGGAGGAGTTGCTGGGGGCGAGGCTAGTAGTACTCTGCATTCCTTCCATGGATTCGATATTTACCTCCGCCGAGGATGCCTTGACAAAGCTAACAGCACGGGCGCTCCTGCGTGAGATTGAACAGCTGACATCTGCACGCAATGGGGTGGGAATGGCAGTTGTGTTGGTGGGCATTACTTCTAGCGGGGCCTCCGAGGCGGCGGGGTCTCTTTTTACGGTAAAAGTATCCGTGGATTTGCCGGATGTCTACACACGGGCCGCCCTGTTGGCACACGTGCGCGGCGGTGCGGGGGCGGATTACATGAACGAGGCGCACACACTTGTGGGTTTCTCCAGCGCAGCTGTGCTCGAGGTTGCTGAGGGCCCTCCTCGGCCATTCAAACCCCGTATGAAGGCGCTGCATTGGTCAGAGATTGGTGGCCTGACTGATGTGAAGGATCGACTGCGCCGTGCGTTGATACTCCCCCGGCTGCAGCCGGAGCTGTTTGCGCGCTTTGGCGTTTCGCCTCCCCGTGGAATTCTTTTGTATGGTCCACCGGGTTGTGCCAAGACAAGTCTGGTGAAGGCGCTGTGCTCGGAGGGCTACTTTTCTTTTATTTACCTGGACTCCGCCACGCTTATTAGTGCGTACGTTGGAGAGTCGGAACGGCAACTGCGGGAGGTATTCCGAAAGGCGGCTCGGCAAACGCCGTGCATCGTCTTCTTTGACGAGGTGGAGGTGTTAGGTGGAAAACGGGACACCGGCTCCCGCGACAACGACCAAACACGGCTGCTCTCAACGCTACTCACCGAGATGGATGGGTTTGCCTCTTCAAGCGGCGTCTGCTTTGTCGGGGCCACCAACACCCCGCACCTGATTGACAGTGCCCTGCTTCGGCCGGGTCGGTTTGACTACTTGGTGTACGTCCCACTTCCACCGCGGGACGACCGAAGGGAGATCCTTGCCCTCTCCCTTGCCGGCACCTCCGCTGACGTTGATGCTCTCGCCGATGCCACCGATGGGTTCAGCGGCGCCGACCTCTCATCCCTGTCGTCGGAGGTCCTGCTGGAATTGCTGGAGGGGCAGAGTGAGAGCAGGAAGGAAGACGGTAGCCACAGTGGTGTGGCCCCCGATCTCAGCTGCCTGCATGATGCCAAGGCACTCACCGACCTTCTTCTTGGAAGAATAAAGACGTTTCATAAAACTGCGTACGACGTGGCCGCACTTGAAGCGTTTCACAGGGACTGCGCTTCTTTCGCAAGCGCGCGCTAGCGCTGCGGGAGTGGCGCGGGCGTGAGACCTTTTATCTGTGTCTGCGGTTTCTGTGAGCGAACGTTTCTTTTTTTTTTTTTCTTTTCTTTCTATTACTATTTCCCTCTGTTCCATGGCTTTGGTTGTATCCTTGTTGTGGCTTTTAATGAGAGCTAAACTTTTGTTGTTCTCCCTCCCTGCGTTTTTACGGTTCCATTGTTGTCGTTGCTAATGCACTGCTCTTTCGCCTTGGGCTCATTATAAGTAATTATTTGTGTGTGTGTGTGCGCGCGCGTGTTTCTTGGTATTGCGTGCGTTCGTTCATTTGGCTGCAGCAGGTTTTAGATGGATGTGACAAGTCAAGTCTACTTTGCTTCTGCTGCCAACAAGTGCGGCGCCGCCGCAGATGTGCCCCACCTGCTCATTTGTCGCACCGCGCAGGCCGCATTGGGCGGGCACGCGGTGCAGCGTGCCTGCTCCGAGATGCTCCACTGGGACGAGTACCGGGAAGCGTTTGGGGTGCAGGACGGAACGGGGAAGATGATGGACGCCTTCTTCACCAGGACCGCGGCGCCGTTTGCAGGATACACGTTTAAGCCAGGCAAGTACAATGTGACGGCAAAAGCGTACTCCGTGGCCCTGAACCCCGCCTTCTGCGGACTTCCGCTTCAGAGATTCTGCTCAGAGATGGAGCACTGGGATGCGTATCGGGAAGCAAACGGCGCCCAGGGCGGTGACAAGTCGATGAGAGAGTTGTTTTACCCCAATATATTTGCCGGCAACGAGATGTTTGTCTTGGATGCGAGCTCGAAATTGCTTGCGTTGAAAATAATGAGCATAGTAAACTCACGGGAGTCTTATGGCAAGGCTACACAGATGCTGTGTGCGGAAATGATCCACTGGGATGATTTCCAACGAGACAACGGCGTTCTTCCCAATCCAGCGATGGAGGTCGTTTTCGGAAAGCATTGAGGAAAAGGTACGAATCCCCACCCCCCCCCCAACGCACACACACACACACACAGAAACCTTCCCGTGTGGTTGGATTGCGCAGTTCCGTTTGTTCGTCGATTCTCACTTGAAGATATTTGCTTGTTTTCTCCCTTCTGCTTTGCAATGGGGTCTCGTTTCGTTTTTCCGTTATCCCCTGTCCTTCTTTGCAACAAGGTATTGTTAGCTCGGTTTTAGGTAGTGCCTGATGAATCCAGCATATGGAGGAGGTGGTTTTGGCCAAGCGCCCAAGAGTGCTGCTGGCGGGTTCGGTCAACAAACTCTCGCCTTTGGACAAGCAGCTCAGGGAACTGCTGGCGCATATGGTCAAGCTTCAACTGGTGGATTTGGCCAGCAAGCGGGGGGATTTGGGCAGACAGCGGGTCGTGGAACCGTAACTGGTTTCGGTCAGCCCACTGCCACTGGGACCGGCTTTGGCCAGCCTGCTGCAACGGGATTCGGTCAAACCGGTGCCACTGGTGGCTTTGGACAGCCGGGTGCCACGGGGGCTTTCGGTCAGCAAGCTGGCGGCTTTGGCCAGGCGATGCAAGGAACTGCAGGTGGATTTGGGCAACCGGCCGCAGGAGCAGCAGGGTTTGGTCAACCAACTAGCGGATTCGGTCAGCAGCCAGGCGGCTTTGGCCAGGCGGCTCAGGGAACTGCTGGCGCATTTGGTCAATCAGCTGCAGGACGAGGCACCGCGGGTGGATTTGGGCAACCGGCCGC